TAGATAAGCCAAATTACTTAAGATATTTAGTCTTGTTTCCAGGGGAAAAAACTAAATTAAGTGCATTTTGCTTGAAACAAGAGTATTTTACTTACCATTTTACTTGTTTTAAGCAAAATGCACTTAATAAATTTTTTTCCCCTGGAAACAAGACTAAATATCATATGTCATTTGGCGTATCTAGTAAAAGTATCTTGATTTAAGAATGTTTAGATATTTTGACTAAAAACAAGATAAGATAAGCCATTTTTTGCAGTGCAGTATTTGTATAGAAATACATTTGAAAGTTTTTATTGATTTCACTTGTCTGTCATTAACATTAGCTGAATCATACATTACAGTTTTATTTATTTTTTCTAGAAAGCTTGAATATTTACAAAGAATGTGGCATAACATCTCAAACAAAATAAATACACAAATGTTTTGAACAAGTATACTGTTTTTACAGACTCCGCAGATGTGACCTCGATGATACCTGCTGTGAAACTGTGGCTTTGGCCTTGCAGATACCAGACTCACCCCTGATAGAGCTGGACATGAGTAACAATAAGCTGCAGGATTCAGGAGTGAAGCTGCTCTCTGATGCACTGAAGAAACCAAACTGTCAGCTGAAGATACTGAGGTTTGAGATTCAGATGTTTTTTATATGTTGATTTGATACACCTTGGCCCATTTTCACAGACAGGGCTTAAGCCCTGTTCAGACTACACAATTTTAGCCCGATTTTGCCATGATCTGCTTGATGTAGGGTGTCGTGGGGATTCGTATACGACAATGGGCGTCGGGACGCACGATTCAATCGTTTCATCTCGTGTAGTGTGTCAGTGCAAGATGCCTCTGTGATGCTTTACGACGTCAACACAGAAATACTAGCATGCTTAATTTTTTTTCTTCGTACACGACAAGTTCCATCACAGTTATGACACTGGCCAATAGGAGCACAGAAGCGCCTTTGTACAAGCTTTCAAACATGCCGAAACTAAAGAGAGACAATGGTAGTATCGGTCCTGATAGGTGTAATTTTACAATGGAGGAAAATGTTCGTTGAGCTACGGCAACAATACTCCTGCATTTATGATGAGGGACTACCACGACACAGTGAAAAAAGGTCAAATAAACCTCTTCATGCCAACCAGATTTGTGTCCATTGTCAGGTTTTTTTTCTTTTTTGGGCTTTTCTGATGACAAGACAGGGCAAAACACGCTGTTTGCTAGCCATTGTTTGTTTACGCTCATAGCACCTTCTGTCTTGTCTCGCGCTATTGATGACAGCACGCACGTTGTTAATGACAGCATGCGATGAATGCTCGGGTAGCATCGTATAGTCTGACATGTTTCTTGTTCACAACACGACAAGATTTTATGAGTCTGAGAACTGACAATCCATGTTGACCCGTCTCCCAACCACTTTCTCATCCACACTCGTTTAATCTTCCACTTTTGTTGTTTCTCACTACATTAGTATTGATACAGCAAGTTGTCTTGTTACAATTTTGTTTACATCCGTTATTCCGCATCCCCATTATATCACGTGATGCGCTCCCTCTGGCACGATAATCTTAATAATATCTTGTAATGTGTGTTGCACCACGATTTTCAAATCTTGAGGTGTGCGCATGTTTAAGATTTGATGTTAGAAAATCGGTGAAGATTCTCCTTATGTGTGCGCTGCAACCAAATTTAATAATTGGTTAGGATTTTAAAATTCCTGTAGTCTGAGCCCATCTTAACAATGTCCCAGATGTTCTAAAAACACTGTGAACCATGGCGTCTTGGGGCTTACTTCCTAAAAATGAGTTTGAAATTAAAGACAATGACAAAACTAGCTGATTGTCTAATCTCATTGAGCAACATCTCCTAATATTACTACAATATAAGGCCGGTGTACACCGGTTTCACACCACAAGCGTAAGCAGCGTGTGAGTAGCGCATATTTTTTTCGGCGTGCATGTTAACAAGTGAAGGCATTCACACCGGGAGCAGAAGCAGGAGCGTAGCATAAACAGTGCTGAAGCGATTGTTTCGGCGCAGAGTCTATTTTTGCTGCTCCACTCACGCTCAATTAAAGTGACAGCACACTTTTTATGGACAAAATAAATAATTACACACAAAAAGTGCTGAAAATGCACAAAATAACCATGTCTAGTGTGTTTTTAACATAAATTGAAGTATGTCAAAAGAAAATGAAGCATACAAAAACTTAGGATAGAAGATTTACCCATTTAAGTTTCAACATACACAACATACACAAACAAAACCAAATTAAACCCAGTTCAGACATTGCGTGAATCAGAGGTAAAAAAAAATATATAAATATTGTTCAGTTTCTTGCACAGACCGGTATTACTACAATATAAGGCCGGTGTACACCGGTTTCACACCACAAGCGTAAGCAGCGTGTGAGTAGCGCATATTTTTTTCGGCGTGCATGTTAACAAGTGAAGGCATTCACACCGGGAGCAGAAGCAGGAGCGTAGCATAAACAGTGCTGAAGCGATTGTTTCGGCGCAGAGTCTATTTTTGCTGCTCCACTCACGCTCAATTAAAGTGACAGCACACTTTTTATGGACAAAATAAATAATTACACACAAAAAGTGCTGAAAATGCACAAAATAACCATGTCTAGTGTGTTTTTAACATAAATTGAAGTATGTCAAAAGAAAATGAAGCATACAAAAACTTAGGATAGAAGATTTACCCATTTAAGTTTCAACATACACAACATACACAAACAAAACCAAATTAAACCCAGTTCAGACATTGCGTGAATCGGAGGTAAAAAAAAACTATATAAATATTGTTCAGTTTCTTGCACAGACCGGTCGTTTTGTGTCTTTACACATCAATGTATCGTCACGAGCCGCAGGATTTAATTTGGTTTTGTTTGTGTATGTTTTTTTTACTCTCAAAGCTGTGATTCCCATCCACTTACATTATACGACTGACAGACAGCAACGGTTTCAGTTAAAAATCTCCGTTTGTGTTCTACTGAAGAAACAAATTCAGCGTGAAGTCATAGTTAAAAAGTGACTTTAGAACAGCTAAACTGTAAACCTTTAATATATGGCTTATTCTGTAGAAGTGGTGCAAATTCATTTGTAGAGTTTACTTTTTTTTCATATTTTCTTTCCAAATTTATTCTATATTTGTATTACATTGTATTTGAAATGCATGAATTTAATATGAGTGCACTGTAATCTTTTTATGTATTTTCACAATTTCAGCTAATTTTAAACAATACCTCAAAATTGGTCAATACCAAAGCAAAATAAAAAATTTACAATATATAAACAAAATAAATATGTCCATGCACATAATTCAGCATAAAATAATTGTTTACTAAGTTTTCAAAAAAGTGTTTAGTTTGTGACCTTTGCTTCTGACACACCCTTTACTAATTTTCTCTGCAAAACAAATCCCTTAATAACAATTAAAAAAAATATATATATTTTTTAAATGATTTATTATACATAAAATAAACAACTAAATATCACTGCAGAAATATGTCAATATCAAAACAACCATAGCTTGTTTCGATAGTGACAAAAATTGTTTCAGTATTGACCGTTTCAGTTTTGACAATCCAACCCTAATTTGCCCTAATCTTAAAATATCATCACAAAGTACAAAGTATTCAAATCAATGATTTGAACAGAATGAAGTCATGAAAAATACCTTATTTTCAAATTATTTTTTATAATATTTTCATAAGTGAACACATCCAGGTTTTCTGACATTACAGCAAATACATTTCAAAATGCTAAAGGGAGACTTGGTAACTCTTTATAAAAACTTTCATTTATAAATCATTAACACACATTATATAATGCTTAACAGATCGTTAGTTAATATATGCAGTATGCACATAGCTAGAAATTTAAGATAATGTTCTTGTTAATGTTTACTAATGAACTTACGAAACATTACCTAATGATTAACATATGATTATTTTAATGTAAATAGAAATGCTTACAAATGTTAGTAAACTTTCAGTTCATTTGATCTTCATTCAATCTTAAAAATAAAGGTGCTTCACGATGCCATAGAAGAACCTTTTTGTCTAAATGGTTCCATAAAGAACCTTCAACATCTGAAGAACCTTTCTGTTTCACAAACGGTTCTTTGTGGCGAAAGAAGGTTCTTCAGATTATAAAAAGGTAAGAAAGAGATGGTTCTTTAAAGAACCTTTGACTGAATGGTTCTTTGTGGAACCAAAAATGGTTCTTCTATGGCATCGCTTGAAGAACCTTTTGAAGCACCTTTATTTTTAAGAGTGTTTGTTGGTCTCTGTTTGTTGTGTAGATCTCTATTTACACATCTTAACAAATAATCTATTAATTATTTGTTCATGTTTTTGCAGTAGCCAATCTAAAGTGGAAACTATTAATCATTTGCAAATGTTTATAAACGTTTAGTAATTATTAGTACTTTTATAAGCAGTAATCACGATGGCAAAGACCTGAATTTACTCTATTCACATCTTTACTAATCATTTATTAATCATCTGTTCATGTTTTTGCAGTAGCCAATCTAAAGTTGAAACTATTCATCATTTGTAAATGTTTATAAACTATTACTAATCATTTAGTATCTTTATGGGCATTGGATTTATGTAACAAGGTTTGTGTAAAGAGTGGCTGGTTAAGTTTAGCTAAACGGTTGCTAAAGACATAACAGATTTTAATTTTGGTGCAAAAAAGTTTTTTATTGCCTCAACACTCACATTAGTATACTACTCTTCAGTGTATTATTAAACAGGTTAGCTATTCCTTGAATTATAAATGAGCAGGGGAAAGCAAATAATTTTTTTAATGAAAATGTTCATTTATCAAAACAATATAATATAAACAGATTGAACCATGTTCCCTTATAATAATCAAATTGACCCCTGTACACTGTTGACCCTTTAACCAACCCTTAAACCTACCCAAACCACCAAACCAGTCCCTAACCTTACCCACATTACGTTAAATCTTTGTAGATTTTCAATAAGTGCTTAATCATATGGAATTGAAAGTTTAATGACACTTGTAAGCATTTTAGCTTACATGAAATAATGATTTGTTTGAACATTTCGAATGTCTGACAAGTTTATTAGAAAACATTAACAAGCACATTATCTCACGTTTCTAACTCTTTGAATATATATTAACCAATGATCATTTAGGCATTATATAATATTTGTTAATGATTTATTAATGAAAGTTATTATAAAGTGTTACCGGAGACGTTTTGTGTGTGCTTCAGTATTGACAAAAAATGGGGGACAGTGCTTTTTCTCCTTAAATAAATTATTCAAAAAGTTTTAAAAAAGGCAGAAAAACATGTCATCAAAGTTTCATAAGAACTTAACAAGGCACATTAAGATAAAGAAATATGAAAAAAAAAACATTTAGTTATTTATTTTCTAAGTGACATTTTGAGGATTAGACTGGGGGACGCATGGCACTCAGTAGAGAAGAACATATAAACCACTTTATATAAAGTTATTTAAATTCCTTTTTTCCCCCTTTTTTTGTGATGAACTTGATTATTTATTTATTTGTCAATATGTGTCAGTTGTCTATATATGCCTTAAAAATATACATGGGGGACAGCATTTTGCACCACTCTTGTAGAATGACCCATATAAAGGTTTGTGATTCATTCATTGAAAAGTAAAATCTGTGAAGTGTCTGCTAATAGATCTAGCGGTGATGTGTGATGAAGAGTTACTTTATGCAGCAGAACATGCTAAAGAACATAAGAAATGAGAACATGACATCCTGACTTTATCTGTGAACAGTTATGAAAGTGTAAAATGTGACTGGTTAGTGTCCAGTTAAAATAAGACAATCTGTAAGGGCTGTGTTATTGTTCGTAACTTCAGATGAAGTTGTGAAGTCGTTTAAATACTTAATGGGTGTGTAGTCATCCTGTTTTTTATTATTCTGTTCAGTTTGGCAGGCTGTAAACTCACTGGTCAGTGCTGTGAATTTGTGGCATCAGCTCTACAATCACCAAACTCTCGTCTGATAGAGCTGGACATGCGTAACAATGAGCTGCAGGATTCAGGAGTGAAGCTGCTCTCTGATGGACTGAAAAACCCAAACTGTCAGCTGAAGATACTGAGGTTTGAGATTCAGATGCGTTTTTATGTTAACTTGATGATAAAGTATGATTATCCAAAACACACAGATTACTTTGTGTAATTTATCTTTTTTATGAGCTTTGAAATGAAATCCAAAATGAGCCTGTCTAATCTGAGAAACATCTCCTAATATTACTGCATAATTTACAAATGTATTAAACCTCACACGACAAGACCAAAAATAAATAAGAATAGAAAATATAAGTTGTTTTTATAAAAATAAAAAAGTCCCTCACTTCAGGGTTGGTGCTATGGAGTCTGAAGTTAAATATTAGTTTATTTCTCCTTATGTTCTGATTGGTGATGAATGTAAGTACTATATATACATAAATGGAATGTTAATGTAGTGGTAAAATTATTACTATTGGAGTGTGGGACCTGTGTTAATATCCTAGTGTAACATATGATTTATTTGTGACCAAGTGAAAACAAGAGCAAAAGAGGATATAATGGATATTTTACTGTATACTTGTCAGGTAAAAACTAGATTTTAAGATAAAGAATATGCTAAATAACATGAGAACATGACCTCATGAACATCCTTTTTTTTTTTTTACTTTAGTTAGTGTGTGATATTGCTGTTTGAGCACAAACAATATCTGTAAAGTTATGGCGCTGAAAGTTCAATGAAAACAGAGATATTGTCTATTAAAGAAAAGTCTGTTTAATGCCTACAATTACGACTGGTAGGGACTACAACAAGCTATTTCCCGGGTTGGTGACATGATAAACCCTGCAATTAACATAAAACCGGCCGCTGGGAAAACACAACAAAGGGGGCGAGGATATGTTGCACGGAGCTAATTCTGTTTAATTCTGTTCCTGATAATTATAATGTTAATGTAGCTGTCTGTGCTGCACATTTTACGGAAGACAGCTTCCAGAACCTGCACAAGTTCTATGCCGGATTCGCACAAAGGCTATTACTGAAAGAGCGAGCGGTTCGCATGTTAAAAAAAGAAGCTGCTGTTTATAGGCCTCAACCTGTAAGTAGGTTTTATTATTTGTAAATGTGTTTTCCATTTTTAAGTTTCTGTCATTATTTTTCAGTTGTATCAAGACGTAAACAAAGGCCAACGCTGTTTGGCTTCACTAGCCTGTTAGCGAAATGCTATTTCATGCTTCTCCGACAAATGGCTACAAACACCAACAAACTTCTATGTAATCTCACCAGCGAACTTCTGCTGGTGTTTGTTGGCATTTCTGTTATCAGTGTACAATATTGTTTGATTACAGCTTTTATGTCGTGTTTGCCCACACGCTCGTTCAGTTACAGGCACGCTAAACATGGCTCTGTGTTACATTTGGCCAGTGTAGTAAAGGCATGGTCATTTTTTGTAATGGGCTCATGGTTCTGGCGAAAGACATTTGGCTACATTCGTTCTATAATGACAAAACTAATGGTGCTATACAGTCAGATCCGCAGTCTCTGAAAAATTATTTTTCTTTCGAGGACAGTGGTATAATTTGTTAAAATGATTGTATGAAATAACTGGATATTTTGTGCAATTTTAATCCACCGGAGCACATGCAACTATTGCCGGTAATAATAAGGGCCGTGATGTTTCCGGACAACGTGCAATGCACGGTTAACGACCCACAATACACTGGGCCAGCTAACCAATCTGAGCCCATTGCGTATTTAAGAGGGAGCAGTATCATAGAAACAGGAAGTCAACTGGCTGTTCAAATGACAGTGGAGAGAGCGGCATTGAATAAAGGTGAAATATATGAAAAATAAGGTGTTTTTTTTTTATTAATTTTTTTAAATGAAGCATGAAGACATGTTACACTGCACCCCATAAACACAAGCCTTTTTTCAAGCCTTGAAAAAAAAAATACAGTTTACCACCCCTTTAATATGTCAACAGTCATGAAAGCTTAAAATGTGACTGGTTTGTTTACAGTATAATAAAAGAGAACGTAATGTCTACTGTACAATGTTATTGTTCTCACTCAGATTAAGCTGTGACATTACGTAAATATTTAATGGGTTTGTCATCATCCTGTTTTTTATTATTTTGTTCAGATTGGCAGGCTGTAAACTCACTGGTCAAAGCTGTGAGTTTGTGGCATCAGCTCTACAATCATCAAACTCCCATCTGATAGAGCTGGACATGAGTGTCAATGATCTGCAGGATTCAGGAGTCAAGCTGCTCTCTGATGCACTGAAGAAACCAAACTGTCAGCTGGAGATACTGAGGTTTGAGATTTTTTTTTCCATACATTAAAGAATCTATTAAGCATACTAAATACATAGTCAAAATGTATAATATATGAATTTGTATGTGTATGTGTAAGAATCACTTTCAGAGGAAAGAAGAATATTGATGCATAGAAAATGCGTAGCGTGTCAACTGCTACATTTCATTTACACATTTATATATTGATTTGATGCACATAGTATATGGGTGTAACGATTCAATATTTTTCTCAATGCATTGATCCTGTCGATGCATACACATTGATCTTGAAACATGGAGCTTTGAATCCTGAATCACTTGTTTGGGACAATAATCTAAAATACAAAAAAATCTAATAAATCTCATTGACACTTTTTCCTGAGCAGTGTAGAAATCTCAGAAGTGAAGATGAGGAAACTCTGAATACCTTGTTTGGAGATGCACAGATAATTGCTTCAAATAGAATAACGAATTCTTCCAAATAATAGGAAAAAATATTTGGCAGACAGAGTCACTCCTCGTGTTTACTAGATAAAAGATGAACTAACGATAGCTTGATATTATACATGAACCTCTAAAATTAATACACCAGAATGAGTGTGTTAAGTGAATGAGTGTTAACTCTATAAAGGAAATGAGCGCAAATCAAATATCTGCATAGCTGTCTCTGTCTGTCTCTCAACATGACTAAACTACAACAGGGCCTGTATTCACAAAACATTTTATCTAACCACCAAGAGTTCTCCTAAATAGCAGTAAAAGTTTTTAGCTAAGAGTTTTCTCTTAAAACCTATTTACTAAACAGCTGAGACAAACTTTTACTTAGGAATAGAGAGAAGTCTTAAGCTAAAAGTAAGGGCAGGGTTGACCTTGTTGCTATGGATGATGTCAGCATGCTTACTAACTATGCACACAGTGATTGGCTGATAGGGGAGGGGTCTCTGTCAGAGATTTATTCATAGAAATATTGTAGAGTGCAATATTATGTTGCCATAGTCAAATAAAGGTTTAAAAATAAAAATGTTGCCACATTTAAATAAAGATTTTAAAATGCAGGCTAAGTGTCACTAATTAAACAAGTATGTACAGCTAATTGTCAGGCTCTTACATGTATGCTTCTCGCAATTGGGTTGTTTTTATTTGTTGGTGAAGTGACTGTGTCCCTGACAAGTTCTTCAACAGTCATAATACCCTTGCGATTAAGGTGATACATTTTTAAAAGCTTATTGTCAAATGTTTATGTGTTTAGAGGCAGATTGCAGGCAACAGCCATTTTAGGATCATTTGTGATTTGGTCTTAGTAACTTAGGAGTCCTCTTCACTATTCCTAATGTTTCACAGATTTAGGAGCTAGTTTTAATGCTAAAACACTTTGTGAAATACTCTTAGAGTAAAAATGTAAGAGTCCTAAATTTAGGACTGACATGCCCATTATTTTTAAGATTTTCTCCTAAATCGGCAAGTGATGAGCTACTTTTAGCCTTAAGATGTTTTGTGAATATGGGCCCAGGTAAACTGTGAAATCATTTAAATACTTAATGGGTGTGTAGTCATCCTGTTTTTATTATTCTGTTCAGATTGGCATGGTGTAAACTCACTGGTCAGAGCTGTGAATCTGTGGCATCAGCTCTACACTCATCAAACTCCCGTCTGATAGAGCTGGACATGAGTTACAATAAGCTGCAGGACTCAGGAGTGAAGCTGCTCTCTGATGGACTGAAGAAACCAAACTGTCAGCTGAAGATACTGAGGTTTGAGAATCAGATGTGTTTTTATATGTTAATTTGATACACATAAGGTATGACTATCCAAATCAAACAGATTACTTTGTGTAATTTATCTTTTTTCATGAGCTTTGAAATTGAAACCAAAATCACCTGATTGTCTGATCTGAGCAACATCTTCTAATATTACTGCATCAACTACAAATAAATTAAACCTCACATCACAAGACCAAAAAATAAGAAAAACATTTTTTTTTATAAACAAAAGTCCCTCACATCAGGGTTGGTGCTATGGAGTCTGAGGTTAAATGTTAAATATTAGTTTATTTCTCCTTGTGTTCTGATTGTTGATAAATATAAGTAACATATATTCATAAATGAAACTTGTTAATGTAGTGGTAAAATTATTACTATTAAAGTGTGGGGCCTGTGTTTATATCTTAGTGCAGTGATCCTCAAATCTGGCTCACAAGATCCACTTTCCTGCAGAGTTTAGCTCTAACCCTAATCAAACACACCTGAGTTTGCTAATCAGTGTCTTCAGGATCATTAGAAAATCACAGGTAGGTTTGTTTGATTAGGGTTGGAGCTAAACTCTGCAGGAAAGTGGATCTCGCAAGCCAGATTTGAGGATCACTGTCTTAGTGTAACATATGATGGACATTTACTGTATGCTTGTCAGGTGAAAGCTATATTTTAAGATAAAGAATATGCTAAATAACATGAGAACATGACATCCTGATTTTCTTAAATATGCCAACAGTCATTAAAACATAAAATGTGACTGGTTAGTATACAGTTTAATAAAAGAGAACCTGTAATGTCTACTTTACTATGTTGTTGTTCTCAGCTGAAGCTGTGATATTATTTAATGGTTTTGTCATCATCCTGTTTTTCATTATTCTGTTCAGTTTGTCAAGCTGTAAACTCACTGGTCAGTGCTGTGAATTTGTGGCATCAGTTCTACAATCATCAAACTCTCGTCTGATAGAGCTGGACATGCGTAACAATGAGCTGCAGGATTCAGGAGTGAAGCTGCTCTCTGATGCACTGAAGAACCCAAACTGTCATCTGGAGAAACTGAGGTTTGAAAATATTTTTTTCCCAGTACATTGATACATTAAAGAATCTATTAAACAGTCATACATTATACATTTTGACTGTGTATGTGTAAGAGTCACTGTCAGAGGAAAGAAGAATATTGATGCATAGAAAACAATGCGTAGAGTGTCAACTGCTACATTTCATTTACACATTTATATATTGATTTGATGCACATGGTATATGGGTTTTTCTCAATCCTGTCGATGCATACACATTGATCTTGAAACATGGAGCTTTGAATCCTGAATCACTTTTTTGGGCCAATAATCTATCTAAAATAATAAAAAATCTAATAAATTTCATTGGCACTTTTTCATGAGCAGTGTAGGAATCTCAGAAGCGAAGATGAGGAAACTCTGAATACCTTGTTTGGAGATGCACAGATAATTGCTTCAAATAGAATAACGAATTCTTCCAAATAATAGGAAAAAATATTTGGCAGACAGAGTCACTCCTCGTGTTTACTGGATAAAAGGGGAACCAAAGACGGCACAACATTATACATGAATCTCTAAAATCACTACACAATAATGAGTGTGAAGTGAATGATAACTCTATAAATGAAATGAGCACAATTCAAATATCAGCATAGCTGTCTCTGTTTGTCTGGCAACATGAATAAACTACAACAGGTAAACTGGGAATGTATTTAAATAATTAATGGGTGTGTAGTCGTCATGTTTTGAATTATTCTGTTCAGTTTGGCAGTCTGTGATCTCACTGGTCAGTGCTGTGAGTTTGTGGCATCAGCTCTACAATCACCAAACTCCCGTCTGATAGATCTGGACATGAGTGCAAATGATCTGCAGGATTCAGGAGTGAAGCTGCTCTCTGATGGACTGAAGAACCCAAACTGTCAGCTGAAGATACTGAGGTTCGAGATTATTTTTTTTCAGTATATTGGTTCTCCTTTCAGTTGAACTATTATTGTAGGATATGAGAGACATTCCACTTTTACCAGTTTATAATAAATGGATGTTTAACTATCCAGTTTTGATAATATAACTGTGAATCAATACTGATATAGATTTATTAAATCTCAAGATTAATCTTTTTGTAGGCTATATTGTTTTCTGTTTATATGTGAACTTTATTATTATTATTTGACGTGCACCTGCCATCCAATTATTACAATAAGCTTTGTGCTTTGTTACTTATAAAAAAAAAGTCACAGCTTTCAAATTCTGTTCATTGTATCATGAAATACAAACAATAAACGTGATAAAACGTGATGTGGCATGACAGATTTCTGTAGCGCCTCAGTTCAGGCGGGACGTGAACCGATCCTCTCTTCCACTTTACTTTTAGTCACAAAATAAACATGAATGAGCCTCAGAAGGTATTTTGAAAGAAACAGAACAACTTACTGAAATGTATCATGTCTTATGTAATCACTCAATCTGTGTTTCAACTGTGGAAAGACGTCAATAAAACAGCTTGTGCTGTATGTAATGATGTCATATTTACCTCAGGAAAGCCATTCAGTGTATAGAAACTTCAGCTAGAAAAATAACTCTAGAGGAACATTTAGCTAAATATATGCAGTATTACATGTTCATTAGATTTTTACTTGTCTTTATAATTTAATGTTTGAGTCAATTTGTCATGAAAACAAGCTTTTTATTATAGTGTGTAGCTGTAGTTTTTATATACCTGTTTGGCAAGTGTTTATCATGTTCATTGGTTTATGCCGTACAATTAATCGTCTGGTTTATACAACTTAACCAACAAAAAATAGCTCTATTGTAATATATACTGATAAACCGAGAAATAAAATTACTTGTATTGTGAATTAAGATTTTGATCATATTGTTCACCCCTTCTATGAATGCACTTAAAAAAAACTACAGAATCAAGTCTTAGATCTTATTGTGAATTTTACTGAATAGCATCATTCTGCATTTGCAAGAATCGTTCGTGAACTGAATCAAAAACCTATGAATTGTGAATCAAATTGATTTGCTGTCTACTCAAATATTCACACTCTGAATAAGGTATGATTATCCAACTCTGACTGTAATTATGTTATCATCTATGAGTTTTGAAATTGTACCCGATTCAGATTTAATGAGCTTTTCTAATGTCACATATATGTGTCATTGTTTCTGTGTCTGTTTGTAGATTATGGGATTGTATGGTGACAAGTGAAGGCTGTCATTATCTGGCTTCAGCTCTGCGATAAATTAAAATGCTCAACAGCTTTATAAAAGTCAAAAAAAAAAAAGGCTCTCATCGACAATTAAGTATGAATAATCAATATCTAACATTAATCTACTATTATTAGAAATATGCCTCCCTGATTTAAAAAAAAAAAAAAAAAAGACTAGGATTCATCTATAAGACACTTGGTAAAAACTAAGGCTAAAATTTTGTAATCATTAAGACATATGGGGAGCCAATTGTCAAGAAAAAGAACATCCTTTTTGGGCTTTGGGAGTAACGTAATAAGGCCTTGTGTAAGAGTAGGGGGAAGAGAGCCTTTTGAAATACTTTCTCTGAAAACTTGCAAAAGGAAAGGAGCTAACTGTTTTGCAAACAATGTGTAAAACTCCGAACACACAAGTTTATGGCTTCAGAGATCTCCTCTAAACAAAGAGGTAGATCACGCATGTTTCTGTCTACCCCACTAATTTTACCACAACTAGGAAGTGAGTTGAAAAAGAATGTAACTGAACCGAGGTCAAGAGCTATACAACATTTTATAAAAGTCAGCGCAAAATTGTGCAATTTCTTTTGGATTCTCAGAGTAGTATGTACGTAGTATGTATACTATACGTAGTTTGACCATTAATCTGTTACCTATAAATGGTATTATCACTAGAATTACGTCTCTCAAATAAAAAATGAAAAAAAGATGATGCCTAGATCTGATAAAAGCTCCTTCAGAAAAAAAAATGTATGTACATTTTATAACCATATTCTGAAACCTGGCTAAAACCAGGTGATTATATTGGTCTAAATGAGTCTACTCCACCAAGCTACTGTTATAAGCATGAGCCCCGTCAGACTGGTCGTGGCGGCAGTGTTGCAACAATATATAGTGATATTCTCAATGTTACTCAGAAGACAGGATACAGGTTTAACTCATTCGAAATACTAATGCTTAATGTTACACTGTCAGATATGCAAAAGAAATGTATCATATCTCTTGCTCTGGCTACTGTGTATAGACCACCAGGGCCGTATACAGATTTCCTAAAAGAATTTGCAGATTTCCTCTCAGACCTATTGGTTACTGTTGATAAAGCGCTAATTGTCTGAGATTTTAACGTTCACGTTGATAATACAAATGATGCATTAGGACTTGCGTTTACTGACCTAATAAACTCTTTTGGAGTCAAGCAAAACGTCACTGGGCCCACTCATCATTTTAATCATATGCTAGATTTAATTAGATCGCATGGAATTGCTCTTACTGATATAGATATTGTACCTTAAAGTGATGATGTTACTGACCATTTCCTTATATCGTGCATGCTGCGTATTACTGATATTAACTATATGGCTCCACGTTATCGTCCGGGCAGAACTATTGTTCCAGCCACCAAAGACAGATTCACAAATAACCTGCCTGATTTATCTCAACTGCTCTGTGTACCCCTAAGTACACATGAACTAGACTATATGACTAGCAACATGGGCACTATCTTCTCTAATACCTTAGAAGCTGTTTCCCCCATCAAATTGAAAAAGGTTAGAGAAAAACGTACTGCGCCATGGTACAACAGTAATACCCATTCTCTCAAGAAAAAAAACTCGTAGTCTTGAGCGCAAATGGAGAAAAACTAACTTGGAAGTTTTTAGAATTGCGTGGAAAAACAGTATGTCCAGCTATAGACCGGCTCTAAAAGCTGCCAGGGCCGAGCATATCCACAAACTCATAGAAAATAACCAAAACAATCCAAGGTTTTTATTTAGCACAGTGGCTAGATTAACAAATAACCAGACGCCACCCGATCTAAATATTCCCTCACAGTTTAATAGTAATGACTATGAATTTCTTCACTGATAAAATCGATAACATCAGAAATACAATAACAAATGTAGATTCTACAGCGTTTAATACTTCAGCTTCATTCATCACACCAAAAGATAAACTGCAGTGCTTTACAACTATAGGACAGGAAGAGCTAAATAAACTTATCACTGCATCTAAACCAACAACATGCCTGTTAGATCCTGTACCCAGTGGCGGCTCGTCGGGGGAGGCACAGCTTCCCCATAATTGGGAGGAGGATGATTTAATGTTAAGAAAATTCACAATTCATTTCAGTTCATGTCTCAGAATGTGTATTTTTTGTTTGTAATTTCACAGTTGTAATACCATAACGTGAAAGCACCGCTTTTCTATCGTGAATGTGCCGAATCTGCTGATGTAATTACAACCGCTAGGTGATGGAGAAGGGGAGGGGGAGGCCGGGTGAGCGATGAGCTCTCATGCCTCCGTTGGTAAAAAATATTAGCCAATCAGCATCGAGTGTTCACTTTCAGCGCTGAGGAGTGGTGAGAAAAGAACCCTCGTAAGGGAGGCTAGCCTCCCTTCTGATATCAACCAATTATCAAAGAGACGTAAATTACGTGATATTAGTTTGAACGTCTGCCGCTGCGCTGATAATGTACCATGTACTTATGATGAGTAGCGATATTGAATAATTGATTGCCAACAGATTTACCAAGCTGTCATTCAAACAGTATATATATATACACATTTAGGAAAAACCGCCTAAGCAGGATATAGGCTACAGCAGTAGGCCTAATTAAATGGCGCAACGGGCAGCTCTCTTTTAACACTGACTTTTAAGAAGGGATGGATGTTTGCTTCAATGCCAAGTTACGAAACATGTTACCCGTTACTGATGCAGAAAAGCTAGTTCATGCATTCATGACCTCTAGTGTCACAAGTTCAGCCTCTGTGGCTCCCTCCGATCACCACCAGAGGGAACCATCACCGGAGTACTAACCGATCCTTTCGGACTTCAATTCCCGCAATGCCCCATGCCTGAGACTAATCACCAGCACAGGTGTTTCCCATTGCCCGGTCTATTTAAACTGTGCCTTCCCTGCACTCATTGCGAAGTCTTGTTTTGCCTTGCAGACATTTCTGAGTGTTTTCCCTGTTTGATTATCTGTTGATTACCTGGACTGTTTCCCCGTTGACGACTGCTTGCTGTCTACCTATTCTGACCCTGCCAGCCTCGTGGATTTATGCTGTTGTTTGTCTGCCGCCTGCCTCGACCCTGATCACAAACTCGGTTTATGATTCTGCCCAGCCTTCATTGTATCTGACGCCAGTTACCGATTTATGCCTGTATGACCTGCCTTGTGAACTAATAAAGCTGCACATGGATTCTAACGCCACTGCCTCCGCGTTACAGAAGACTTCGCCAGAAATTGATCCAGCAGTCTTCTATCACTTCACCACAGAGGTATCTGCTCAAGCATCGGTTCTGGCCACACACCAACAACAACTAAACCGACTTACCTCGCTAACCGAGGAGATGGTAAAGACCTTGCAAGCCCTTCGTCTGCAAGCACCCAAAGCTCACGCCCCTCCTTCGAATCCACCGCTTCAAGCCCCGGCTTCACCTACCTCCACCGCCAGCCCTCGTTTGGTGTTCCCCGAGAAGTTTGATGGCTCACCCTCAAAATGTAAGGGTTTTTCACTCCAATGTTCCGTGTTTGTTCACCAACAACCCATGTTGTATCCCACAGACGATAGTCACATCACATTTGTCTGTTCGCTTCTCACTGGAAGGGCGCTGGAGTGGGCTACCGCGGTGTGGAGTGAGAATCAGACTGTCTTCCCTTCCTTCTCGGCCTTCATCCAGTGGTTTAAGGAAGTGTTCGAACATCCCGCTGAGGGAAAGGAGGCAGGTGAGCAGCTGTTATCTCTACGCCAAGGAAGAGGTTCGGCGTCGGATTATGCTCTCTCGTTCTGCACTCTCGCTGCACAAACAGGGTGGCCGGAGGATCCTCTCAAACTACACTGCCGCAGAGGTCTGAGCATGGAATTGTAGTCTAAATTAGCCTGTCGAGACGAGGGGAGATCCTTGAATCAATTCATTGAGCTGGCCATTCGGATTGACAACCTCCTTCGCTCTCGTCGTCAGACTCTGCTCTCTTCGGCTCCAGTCGGCACCTCATCGCCACTTCCTGACACAGAACCCATGCAGATCAGCTTTACTCATCTCAGAGGAGAGAGAGAGACGCATTCGCCAGAACCTGTGCCTATACTGCGGATTATCTGGACACATGAGAGCTTCCTGTCCCACTCGTCCACCTCGCAGTCTTTCTCCGGTGAGTCCGAATCTCAGTTCTTCCACTGCTTTAGAAATTCCAGTCATCTTAAAGATTAATGGGCAGATCACTGAGGCTATGGCTTTGATTGACTCAGGGGCTGCAGGAAATTTCATTGATGCTAGTTTTGCTAAGACTCATAATATTCCTCTTGTTCCCTGTGTATCTCATTTGGCAGTGGCAGCGCTAGATGGCCGACCGCTGGGCACTGGCCAAATTCAATTCACTACCAAGGACCTTCAATTATGCACTGGAGCTCTTCACACCAAACTTATCCGCCTCTTCGTATTTCAATCTCCAAGAACACCTATCATTCTGGGACTGCCTTGGCTGGAGAAGCACAACCCCTCTATCTCATGGTCCGAAGGACAGATTATACAGTGGTCAGAGTCCTGCCGTCAGAATTGTCTCAACGCTACTCCGGTCAGAAAGGAGAGGGATTACATGCCTGTATATCCGCTCCCTGCAGAATACCACGATCTCACGGAGGCCTTCAGTAAGATAAAAGCTTCTCAACTAATTCCCGCAATGCCCCATGCCTGAGACTAATCACCAGCACAGGTGTTTCCCATTGCCCGGTCTATTTAAACTGTGCCTTCCCTGCTCTCATTGCGAAGTCTTGTTTTGCCTTGCAGACATTTCTGAGCATTTTCCCTGTTTGATTATCTGTTGATTACCTGGACTGTTTCCCCGTTGACGACTGCTTGCTGCCTACCTATTCTGACCCTGCCAGCCTCGTGGATTTATGCTATTGTTTTTCTGCCGCCTGCCTCGACCCTGATCACGAACTCTGTTTACGATTCTGCCCAGCCTTCGTTGTATCTGATGCCAGTTACC